TCAGCCTCCCAAGTAGCTGGGATTACAGGTATGTACCACCACGCCCAGCTTATTTTTGTATTTTTAATAGAGACAGGGTTTCACCATGTTGGCCAGGCTGGTCTCGAACTCCTGACCTCAGGTGATCCACTTACTTCAGCCTTCCAAAGTGCTGAAATTATAGGCGTGAGCCACTGTACCCGGCCCCGATGCCAGTTTTGACATCACTGCTGTAGTCTCCATGGTCTGAATGCGATCCCCGTCACTCACTCTCACAATGCTGAGTTTCTCTCTAGACTCTTTGATGACTCATCCTTGCTGATTTACAATTTTACTTATTATAAGTCTACCCGCTTGCTTGTTGTCTGCCTAGCTCATGAGGGCACAGAATGTCTCTATTGTTGACTGTTGTCTTACTGTGGTGCCCGATGCTTGACAAGAAATTCTTGAGTGACCAAGAGCAGGATCCAGCACGGCATTTTCCAAAGTATGCTCTATGGGACATTTTGTAGGAGGTTCTAGGCCAGGGGTTGGCAAACTGCTGCCCATGGGCCAAATCTGGCTCATAGCCTGTTTTTGTAAATAAACTTTTGTTGGGACACAGCCATGCCCATTCATTTACAAAGCGATCAATGGCCTCTTTAGCCGGTTGGTAGAGCTGAATAGTTGTGACTGAGACCAACTGACCCACTGAGCCTGTCACGTGACCCTTAACAGGGAAAATTTGCTGACCCTTGTTATGGTGATTGTAGTAAAATAAACAAATATAATTAAAGAAGTTATGTGGATCTATGTTGGGTAAACAGTCACATCGATTTCTTAATGTAGGACTTCTTGAAGTCTAATGCATTAACAGGCACCATGCTCTCTAAAAATATGAAGCAATACACAGAGCCCCAGACTTATTTGACCAGGATATTCTTTTTGTTGGTACTTGCTGGTTCTTTGGAATAGGCTTTGAAAAATGCTGGCCAAGGTCTTGAAACCATGAAGGTAAGATACCTGAGAAGGGAAGCTGAGGAGTATTTGCTGAGGATGGGGTTCCACAGTGCAGTCACACATTCAGGAGTTATCTGTACCTGGTATCAATATCCCAACTTCTACTTCAGACCTGTAACCACCCCCCACACTGGGGTTTATCAATTAGGAATCCCCCTGCATTTCCTAGAAGGTAACCGAGGGGACAGGGCCATGACTTACTTTCTCCTGACTGTTCAGCTCCTGGTAGGGGATGTGGGCAGGCAGGTAGGTGTGGAGCAGAGCACAGAAGGCCAGGCCATCACTCCAGCTGCTGCTGAAATTGGTGATGTCAATGTTCTGCAGTAGAGAAAAGCAGTATTAATCAAATACTATTGCAAGCTGTGCAGTATCACAGATGAGGAGATAATGAAAAGATGGGAATCTGCCTTTGGATTTTTCAGTAAGGCAACATAAGAATAAACTTCCAAATTTGCTCAGAGTACATTTCATTTTGGTACCAGGAATGGCCTGGTGTTGCCCAAATCTATTCATAGAATAGCACTGAGAAAAAGCTTTCAGTGCTCAAAACATCCCTCAGGAGAGTCATTAAAGGCTCAAAGATATCTTATTCTCAAATTAACCCACCTGATTAGCTTTGTACATGCCAGCACTTCCCAGACTTACTTGGTCAAGAAAGAATCATCCATCATCATTATCACCACCTTCATAACCATTACCATCATCCCCACCACCATCATCACTGCCACCATCACCATCTGTCTAACCCCAATTCACAATGAGCAGACCAAGATGAGAAGGTCTGAAAGACCGACAAGGCTGTCTCTGGATTGTTCTTCCTCCCACAGTCTTCTCCCCACAATTTAGGAGGCTTCTCAGGGGGAAAAGAAAACCTTTCCTGCTCAGCATCCCTCGGTCAGCACACCAAACAAGCAGGGAGCATGAGGCTGCACGGGGAGAAAGGAGCTTCTCCTTCAGGATGGGTACAGCACCAAGCAGCCGCTTGGTACACAGTGATAAGGAAACTAAAATCCAACTCTAGCCGGGTGTGGTGGCTCACGCTTGTATTCCCAACACTTTGGAAGACTGAGGCAAGTGGATCACCTGAGGTCAGGAGTTCGAGACTAGCTTAGCCAACATGATGAAACCCCGTCTCTACTAAAAATACAAAAATTAGAAAGGTGTGGTGGTAGGCACCTGTAATCCCAGCTACTTAGGAGACTGAGGCAGAAGAATGGCTTGCACCCAGGAGGTGGAGGTTGCAGTAGGCCAAGATTGTACCACTGCACTCCAGCCCGGGTGACAGAGCAAGACTCTTTGAAAAAAACATAGATTAAAAAAAATCCAACTCTTAAGTTCCTGCCCATGGAGATGGTGGCTCTGAAGACTCCCGTGAAGGTCCCCTAGGCCCCTAGGCTCCGCTGCATCCCCACCTCTTAGATCCTCAGTCCTGTCACCCACCTGCTCACCCCAACAAGGTTTTCTTCCTTGGATCCACAAAGTCTGTCCCAAATGAAGCGTCAGGATCCTAAGCCTGCTAAAGCTGGGAGCTCAGGTTGTTTAAGCAGGGACCTTGCAAGGAATTGCAGAAGCGGGACACAGCTCAGACTTGGCTGAGTTTTAGGTCTGTGTTAGGGTTGGGGACAAGAAGAATTGGGAAAGCTTAGGGTTCCTTCCTGCAGTCTCCCCACAGCCACTGAGGAGCTCTTCCTCCTCATGCCCTGTCCTGGGAAATGTGAAGCCAGCAACGTTGGAAAGCTGTGGTGGGTGCCGGCTCCCTCCCACAGGGAGGACACTGACCACTATTTCCTCCCTCTGCCCAGATGGCCCAATGCAACCCTACAACAAGTTAACTGACTGCTCTGGGAAGGCCATTTAGGGTGTTTCTATCAGAATCAATTTGTGGCTGAAAATGAGAGGAAGGGTGAAGATGAACAAGGCATTACATTAAGCTGGAATAAGAGAAAGAGGTTTTATGGAACTCTCCTCAAAGTGTGTGTAAAATGGTTCCGGAGAATATACTTAGGTGAAGATGTGTACTAAAATATGGTACCATGTTTCCTGTGAAGTTTCCTTAGGGTTCTGGAAGCAAATCATCTTAGGCAAAAAAAAAAAAAAAAAAAAAGAGAAAAAAAGAAAAAAGACTATAATCTCACTTATCTTTTTATCTAGATTTTTTGAGGGTTATTTCAAGCTAGCCTGACCCCTAGCAATAAGGTTTGTCAAATATCTAATTTTATTGGTAAACTGAGGACAGAAGTGAAGGTTTTCACATGTCACATGTAGGGTTTACCTGAATGACATGGAAACAAGGAATCTGTCCCTGTCTTCCTAGCAAACTTCTCAGTTCCAGTCAGTGTCCAGGATGACCCTGGTGGGCCCCGGAATGTCCCCCATAAGCACCGGCCTTCAGGAAAACAGTGTTCTTGAGTCTGCTTTGCAGTACATTTGCCTAGGGAGGAGGATCTGGCTGAAAGCAACACACAGCCATAAAAATATCTCTTCATCTTGGCTTTCATGACTCAAGCACAACCAACTTGCAGCAGCTTCTAAGTATCAGTGTTACATAAAAGCCTGAGGATGCCCTTGTTGGAAGGGCCCCATCTTGTAAGTGCTGGGGCCATCAGGAAGCTGATCGTGTGGATTTTTGGCTTCAAAGTCTCTTTGAGTTCAAAAGCTACCTGATGAGACCTGGACACTCCTGAAGAAATGGGGAGTGCTATGATTTTATGCTTTTTGAAGAGGTTTGTAGGTTTGGGAGGCTGAAGTGGGTGGATCACCTGAGGTCAGGAGTTTGAGACCAGCCTGGCCAACATAGCGAAATCCCATGTCTACTAAGAATACAAAATTAGCTTGGTGTGGTGGTGGGTGCCTGGCTTGGCCCTCCTTGTTTTCACCTTCCCAGGGTTTGACGTCCATAACATCTGGTTTGAATGCTTTCAGTAAACTTGATGGGGCACGACCCTCACCACTGTTTTTTTCCCAATGCTTTTTTTTTCTTTTGAAACAAAATCTCTCTCTGTCGCACAAGCTGGAGTGCAGTGGCTCGATCTCAGCTGACTGCAACCTCCACCTCCCAAAACATGAGAACATTTTATATACACTTATATCTTCTATCATTTCTGATACAAAATATCATTTTTCTTCATCTGCAAAATCTTCAGAAGCATTTCAGGAGGTCAGATGGATCTGAAAGCTCGACAATGCCACTATCTCCTACAACCAAGAAGGTTCCCACATGCTGGTTAATTGAACACTGTCAAGAATAGTTTTTTGGGCCAAGAGTGGTGGCCCAGCACTTTGGGAGGCCAAGGCGGGCAGATCACATCAGGTTAGGAGTTCGAGACCAGTCCGGCCAATATGGTGAAACCTCATCTCTACCAAAAAAAATTCATTAATTAGCCAGGCATGGTGGTGTGTGACTGTAATCCCAGCTACTCGGGAGGCTGAGGTGGGAGAATTGCTTGAACTCGGAGGCAGAGGCTGCAGTGAGCAGAGATCATGCCACTGCACTCCAGCAAGTGTAACAGAGTAAGACCCTGTCTCAAAAAAATAAACATAAAAAAAACTAAAAATCAGGCGGGTGTGGTGGTATGTGTCTGTAGTTGTAGCTACTTGGGAAGTTGAGGTGGGAGAATCACTGGAGCCCAGGAATTCAAGGTGGTAGTAAGCCATGATCACACCCACCTGGGTGACAGAGTGAGACACTCTCAAAAAAAGAGAAAAGTTATTCTTTTGTTTTCCTTGCACAGGGGCCCTGTCAGGCTTCTCTGTATCATTTCCATTTTGGTATGTATGCTGCCAAAGTGAGCACTAATTCTTGGTCTGTAACTATGAACAGGTCACAGGTTGAGACTGAAGTCTGGCAAGATCAAAGCTGTGATTGAAAAACCAAACAAAATGACTGAAACCCACAGAAGAGCACTGAGAGCCCAATGCCTCAGGACAGACTGCACTGGTGTCTGGTCTGGGGGCTCAGGCATATTTGAATGCAGACCCTGGCATTGCAGCAGTGAGACCACACAGAAACAACACAGGAAAAAGGAGTGTGTGCTACCTTAAAAAAGAATCATTATAAAAAGCCCAAATCTAGTCACGTAGACAAGCCCAAGCCCATGGTCAGGAAACACTCTTCTTCCCTACAAACAAGGTTTCCCTGCCTCAACTCAGCTAACATTGGCAGAGGTGGAGGCTACACAGCTATGGTTTGCAACATGACACTTGCTCCAAGAATGTTACACTCCCAAATAAAGATGTTCCCTTTCATCTTGGAGTGGAACAACCCCAACCAAGTCCCCTTGGCACCATCTGAACTCATCTCTAATTCTAGCTGAACATCAGGAGTGCCAGCAACTCCTAGTCCAGTGCAGCTTGGGGACAATTCAAAGCAGCGTGCACTGTCATACACAATGGTTGAACTAATTTACATTCCCACCAACAGTGTAAAAGTGTTCCTTTTTTGGTCACACATGGTGGCTCATGCATGTAAACCCAGTACTTTTTGGGAGGTCTAGGCAGGCAGATCACTTGAGGCCAGGAGTTTGAGACCAGCCTGGCCAACATAGCAAAACCTCATCTCTACTAAAAATACAACAAATTAGCTGGGCTTGGTGGTGTGTACTTTTAGTCCCAGCTACTCAGGGGGCTGAGGCAGAAGAATCACTTGAACCTGGGAGGTGGAGGTGGCAGTGAGCCGAGATCATACCCCTGCTCCAGCCTGGGCATCAGAGTAAGACTCCATCTGATATAGTTTGGCTGTGTCCTCACCCAAATCTCAATTTGAATTGTATCTCCCAGAATTCCCAAGTGTTGTGGAAAGGACCCAGTGTGAGGTAATTGAATCATGAGGGCCAGTCTTTTTCATGCTATTCTCATGATAGTGAATAAGTCTCATAAGATCTCTTGGGTTTATCAGGGGTTCCCACTTTGCTTCTTTCCTGTTTTTTCTTGCTGCCACCACCATGTAAGAAGTGCCTTTGGCCTCCTGCCATGATTCTGAGGCCTCCCCAGCCATGTGGAACTGTAAGTCCAATGAAACCTCTTTTTCTCTCAGTCTCAGCTATGTCTTTATCAGCAGCATGAAAATGGACTAATACACCATCTCAAAAAAAAAATGTTCATTTTTCTCTGCAACCTCACCAGTATCTGTTGTTTCTAGACTTTTTAATAATTGCCATTCCGGCTGGTGTGAGATGGTATCTTGTTGTGGATTTGCTTTGCATTTCTCTAATGATCAGTGATGTTGAACTTTTTTTCATATGTTCGTTGGCTACATAAATGTCTTCTTTTTTGAAGTGTCTGTTCATGTCCTTTGCCCACTTTTTTTTTTTTCATACTTTAGGTTCTAGGGTACACGTGCAGATCATGCAGGATTGTTGCATAAGTACATACATGGCAAGGTGGTTTGCTGCCTCCACACTTTTTAATGGGGATGTTTGTTTTTTTCTTGTAAATTTGTTTATGTTCCTTATAGTCCTCAAAGATCCAGAAGCAGCAATCATTTGACCCAACAATCCTATTACTGGATATATACCCAAAGGAATATGAATCCTCTTATTATAAAGATACGTGCAAGCATATGTTCACTACAGCACCATTCACAATAGCAAAGCCATGGAACCAACCCAAATGCCCATCAATGATAGACTGAATAAAGAAAATGCAGTACATATAAACCATGTAATACTATGCAGCCATAAAAAAAACAAGATCATATCCTTTGCAAGGACATGGATAGAGCTGGAAGCAGTTATCCTCAGCAAACTAGTGCAGAAACAGAAAACCAAACACTGTATGTTCTCACTTATAAGTGGGAGGTGAATGATGAGAACACATGGAGACATAGAGGGAAACAAGACACACTGAGGCCTGTTGGGGGGCCAGGGGCAGCATTGCTAATGCATGCTGAGCTTAATACCTAGGTGATGGGCTGATCTGTGCAGCAAACCACCATGGCACACATTTATCTATGTAACAAACCTGCACATTCTGCACATGTACCCTGGAACTTAAAATAAAAGGTGATTTTAAAAAAGAACTGTAATAATTAAGGTTTCTTAGAAATAAACAAAAAAAAGCTGTGTGCACTCAGGACATCTCGGACGTGAGGCCAAGTAGTAACCTGCAGAGCATCTCAGAGGCTGCTCTGCTGCTGTTCTTACAACAAAAGTGGCTTCCTTTCCAGTCACTAGGGTGTGCTTTTGTAAGCTCTAAGGTGTATTTTCAGGAGCGAGGGATCTGCTGACGTGATATGGCACAACTGATGTCATTCACACTTTCCACGTGGATGGAAGATGAATTGCAGAAAAGAGACAAATTGAGTTACGCTTTATCAGAGCTCTCATCAGTTCATTCTGGAAGAGCCACACCACTTAAATTACTGTTCCCCTGTGGACCACATACAGAGGCTATGAGCTATGTGGTGTACTGCACCCTGGTCAGCAGAGCCCAGGTGAGGCTAGGGGAGGCTGAGGATGGCAGTCAATGGCCTCATAGAGCGGAAGGGGCCAGTCCTCCAGGAGCCAGGACTTCCTATGGGCTAGCACAGTTTCCAGGAGCTCCTGCAGCTTGAGGCCTGGGGGCTGGTTCGGGGGGTGGGGGGAAGGGGCAGGCAGCAGTGATGGGATCATGCCGTCATTCACCAGGCTCTGGAGGACTGATTTCCTGGACTAGAAAAGAATCCAGCCCTAGGCAGCCAGGAGCTAGGCAGGTTCTGTGGGTGCCAGGTAGGTGGGTTAAGATCTAGTCCCACTGCAGTGACCAGAGAGGTCAAGGAAGCCATGGCAGCAATGTACTAACGTGGGCAGGGCCAATGTGCTGGGCACCAGGCAGAAAAACTGCAGTTTGTTGGGCAAGGGTGGCTGGGCCAGTCCTGGGCACCCTAGGAAGCAAGCTGAGGACTCACTCCAGCACCTACCCCTGGATGGGGGTGAAAAGCCTCATTTTTGGCCACAGGATGATTAGAGCTGGCTCAGTCCTTAGAGTAGAGGGAGGTGAAATCTGGGTAAGTTGCTGGGCAACAGTCCTCAACGCTCACAGAAGCAGCCAAAACTAAGAAACACAGGCCACCCTAGGGATGTTAATACACTAAGGTCCTTTCCCAAGGACCACTCATTTGAGACTCAGGGGTTCATCAAAAGAACAATGAGAAGAAAATGAAAAGCAGCCAAGCAAGCAGGCATTCTACAGGCTATATCTTCAGGTATTTTCCTTGATATTCATTCCATCATTGTTATCCTTGAGTGGAAGCTGGTAACCAAGGGAACATGAAGAGGATTCTGGGGGACTGAAACTGTGCCTTCTAGACTTGGTCACTTCGTGGACATCCCCATGCACACGTGTATGTTATACCTCGATTAAAAAGGAGGTCATGGCCAGGCACAGTGGCACACGCTTATAATCCCCACACTTTGGGAGGCTGAGGCTGGCGGATCATGAGGTCAGGAGTTCAAGACCAGCCTGGCCAATATGGTGAAACCCTGACTCTA